ATGGAGAAAGTAATTTGAGAGCAGAGACTCTGCTCATGCAATCATGCAATGTGACAAGTGATGAGGGAGACGCAGCTACATCCAGGCAAGAGCAAACAATTTGGTGTGGGAACAAGGCAGGGTGTGCAGGAGACAGTGGCTGGAAGTGAGCTGGAGAGCTGGGCGGGGGCAGCTCTGAAGACATCTGTGTGCTGTGCTAATGAGTGTGGACAACCTCATGATGAGTAGCTCTGAGATGTTCTCACGTGGCAAAGGGTCTGTGGTTCTGACAGACAACCCAAGTGGCAACCCAGAAGCCCTGGTAGAGGGAAGGAGAGTGGCAGACAGGCAGACAGCTGCAGGAACTGGCCAGAAAAAAGGCAGTCTGTACCCAGGCAGAGGTTAACGGAGGAGATAAGAGGGTAGGTCGAAGAAATGCTGATCTGACATCAGCACTACCTTGCAAAGGACCAGACATGGCTGCTAGTGGTGCAGGGAGGTGAAGCAAAAGAATAAATGGGGGGGGGGGGGGAACGTCCCTCTGGGTTCTCAATGCAGGGGGGCCTGGTTTGATCTCCTGGTCAGGGAGCTAGATCCCACATGCTGCAAAGAAGATTCTGCATGCTGCAACTAAGACCTGTAACAGCCAAATAAATAAAAACTAAATAAATAAATATTTTAAGAAAAGAATTAATGGGGGGTAACTCTGAGGTTTCTACTGGTAGATGGTACCCTTAACAAAGAGAGGAGACACAGAAATGAACAGGCGTAAAGGCAGAAGCGTGACTGTTTGTTATAGGCACATGAATCTGAGTTTCCTGTAGGATATCTAAAGACAGATGTCTAATAGCCAGTCAGGAACACAGATCAGAGAGCAGACTTGGGTGCATGGGTGGCTGGGCAAGTATGAGAAGTCGGTGGATGCAGCCCCAGTGACTGCATATAAAGTGAATTAGGAGCTGGGCCCAGGGCAGAGCCCATATGGCAGGAAAGGAGGGCCCTAGGAGACATCTAGTCAGAGAGCCAGGGGAGGTGGGCCTTCCTGTCTAGAGAAAAGAAACTCTCTAATGCTTCAGAGACATGAATGGGATGAAGAGGTCACTTGATTCCACAATCAGGCAGCTGCTGCTGAGTATCACGACTCTGGTTTCAGGAGAATGGGAGACAGAAGTAGGATTGAAGTGAGTGAGAAGTGAGAGCAGCATGTGGACAACAATCCTTCAAGAAATCTGGGCTAACTAGGACTTCTCTGGTGGTCCAGTGGTTGAGAACCTGCCTTGCAATGCAGAGGATGCAGGTTCGGTCTCTGGTCAGGGAACTAGGATCCCAAATGCCGTGGAGAAACTACTGAGCCCGTGCCCCTAACTACTGAGCCCATGCGCAGAAACCAGAGTGTGTGCGCCACAGTGAGAAATCCCACACGACACAAGAATACTTCATGCTGTAACTAAGACCCAACACAGTCAAATATGTAAATAAATAAAAACTGAGCTAACAAGAATCTGGAAAAAAGTGGTCTAGATGTCATGGTTCGAGAAACCCTTCTGCAGAGTGGTAAAGAAATCCTTATCTTTGTTTACTGAATAAACTCTTAAGGTGTACTATGTACCAGGCACTGAACTACACTTCTTACAAATATTAACTCATTATTCCCTGGGGAGGTTAACTTGATGTTTCAACTGAAGTAGGTCACAGCACTCAGATATTTGATCAAACATGCCTGGAGGTTGCTGTGAAGGTATTTTTAAGATGAAATTAACATTTAAGTCAGTAGACTTAAATCAATTGATTGAGTAGATTATGCTTCCTGTAGGTGGGCCTCATCTAATTAGTTGAAGGCCTTAAGAAAAAGGTGGACCTCCCCCAAGCAAGAGGAAATTCTGCCAGCATATGGCCTTTTGGACTCAAACTGCAACATTAGTGTTTCTCTGGGTCTCCAGTCTGCCAGCCCATCCTTCAGATTTTGAACTTGCCAGCCTCTTCAAGTGTATCAGCCAGTTTCATAAAAGAAATTTCTCTCCCTCACACAGACACACACACACACCAGCACACACACAACACACCCACCCACCCACCCACATCCTATTGGTTCTGTTTCTCTAGAGTACTCTGACAAATAAACACACTCTCCATAACAGTAGGTACTATTATTATTCCCATCTCACAGTTGAGAAAACTATGGCACAGAGAGGTTATGTAACTTGGCCAGGATCACACAGCCAATAGCTAGCAGAATTGAAATTCTAATCCATTGTGCCTCGGAGTCCTTGCTCTTAACCACACACCCTACTTTGGAGCACTGCTGTGATGTGCTCCAGGGGACAACCCAGGAGCCAACCTGGGGACCAACCTGGGGACCAACCTGGGTGGACAATGGTGAGAAGGAGGACATACAGGGACTAAGAGCCTCAACCAAAATGCATATTGTGCAAGTGAGGAAACAGGACAAGTGACTGGCCTCAGTTCCCAATGGCAGATCCAGGGCTTCAGGAGGCAAAATGCAAGCTCTCCCCTCTCCTACTTTCTCTCCCTGCTTCATCATCCACATCCTTTCTTCCCTTCAGAATTCCTATCTTCCTCAGGGGTTCCCTCAAATCGCTTTCTCATGGGAGCCCAGGACTCCTTACATCCTGACCAGGAACACGCGACCCAGCACCACATGTCCACGTGTCAGGATGATCCTTCTAACAATGTCAAGTTTGGTGATTCTGGTAAAGCCATGGAATTCAACACAAATAATTATGCAGTCTGTTGGTAATTGTTTGGAAAATGAGACAAAACCAACATAAAACAAACCACAACCCCTGCAAACTCCAGAAAGCCCAACAAGCATTTAATTCCAAATATAAATTCCTAGAACTAGAATTTGACTACTCAAAGAATTAGGTGTCTTTGAAAATACATTTGATACCAAAAATCTCCCAAGAATTTGTATGTATGGCCTAACAATTTAAAACTCTGAATTACGTTATCTGAAAACTTGTCTTTTCAGGTTTTACTTTCATGGGATTGAGAAACCAATGGGGTATAAAGTCCAATGTGCTGTCCAAATCCTCAACACAAGCATGGACTCCTTCCTGTAATCTTAGTACAAATGTCAACTGTAAAACTTTCTGGAGGAAAAGTCATAACTACATATTAAAAGCTTTAGAATTTTTTACTTTTTGAAGTCAGCAATTCTTCTTTTAAAATTTTATTCTAAGGAAATAATCATGGCCGTGTACAAAGATTTAACTTCAAAGACATTTATCCCAGCACTGGTAAGAATAGTAATGTTTTTCCTAATCATAGGAGATTGACCAACTGAATTATGACATAAATATACAAGGGGATACTATGCAATATTAATATTGAATAATAATATATGGAATATATTATTCCAATATATAATATGGAATATTATTATTACTATGGAATAATAATGCCAGGGAAAGATGTTCATGATAACAAATGCTTTTTAAAGGCAAGTTATAGAACAGTACATAGCATATAATCCCCTTCATGTTAAATGTGTATTTTTGGAAGGCGGTCTCTAAGAGGGCCGATGATGCCTACACCTGCTGTTCATACACCTGCGTGGTGTTCCCTGTATTGGAATAGCACTGGGCTCTGTGACCACCAGCATGTGGAAAGAAGGAAGAAGAGGCCACTTTGACCTTTGGTGACAAAAGACCTAAGTCACCTAATGGTGACTTTCATTTTGCTCTTTGCCTCTTTGTTTGTTGTTATTGTTTAGCTGTTAAGTTGTGTCCGACTCTTTTGTGACCCCATGGGCTGCAGCCCATCAGGCTCCTCTGTCCATGGGATTTCCCAGGCAAGAATACTGGAGTGGGTTGCCATGCCCTTCTCTATATCTTCCTCACCCAGGGATCGAACCCATGTCTCCTGCACTGGCAGGTGGATTCTTTACCACTGAGCCACCTGAAATCTCGCATGTTTTGTTTGTCACTTTCTCTTGGGTCACGTGCTCCACAGCTCAGTGGGACCAACCTGTCAGGCTGTGAGTGGCCCTGTAGGGATGCCCACGTGGCAAGGCATTGAAGCCTCTGGCCACCAGCCAGTGAGGGTCTGATGCCTGAAAGCACATTGGCAGCCCCTGCTGGATCTTGAGATGAGCTGGCTGACAGTCTGACTGCAACCGTGCTCAAGACCTGACTCAGAACCACCTGGCTCAGTTGTGCCTGGGTTCCTGACTCGGGGATCCTGACTCCCCGAAACGGTGACGTTCACTGTTGTTTAAAGCTGCTGAGTTTTAGGGCCGTCTGTTATGCCGCAAAAGATAACCAATATACACACGCATAGTGCAATGGCTGGAAGGAAATGCAGGCTCCTCTCCAAGATACTGTGGGTTCAGATCCAGGCCTACTGCACTATATTAAGCATCACAATAAAGAGAGTCACAAGAAGTTTTGGTTTCCCAGTGTGTTAAAAGTTCTGTTACACTATACTTTAGTCAATTAAGTATGCAACAGCATTATGCCCCCAAAAGCTAATGTACCTATTTAAATTAAAAAATACTTTATTGTGAAAAATGCCTACCATCATCTGACAACACACGGTTGCAACAAATGTTCAATTTGTAAAAAATGCAGTATCTGCAAAGTGCAATAAAGCGAAGTCTGCTTGTAATCCAAAATATGATTAGTGGGTTTCTCTAGGTGATTTTTAGTTCCTTTTTTTGTATAATATTGGCAATGTTTTCTTCCTTTTTCAGAATACAGAAAAAAGAAAACCATAAGACCAAGAGAGATTATGGGATCTTCTAAAGAATTAAAGGATAAAAGATTAGGAGAGGCAATTCAAGTCTAATAACCTTTAAAGATTCTTCTCAAGCAAATTAGCTTAAGTGTGAAAAAAAAAAAAAAGGTGTAAGCCTTACCCACCAGAAACCATGCAAAGTGCTGTGAGCAGCAGCATTCAATAACTTCAAGGAAAAGAGGCTAGCACAGGCTTCTTAAAAGGGAAATCGAACAGTAATGAAGTCGTCCACTAGCCGATCACTGGCACGGGAGTTTGCTTACCCAGTTTCTGGTCAAACCGCCACGCCGTGACATAGGCATTGTGCCTCAGACTGCTCTGTGCGGCCAGGGGCACGGTGACGTAAATGGGGCCTTCCACCAGTACCGGGGTTCCATCGCTGCTGAGCAAGTGGACGCTGACGGCTGTGACGGGGGTTAGGTTGTACCTGGTGCTGTTTCCTGGAAGCAAGAGGCAGTCTCCATCACATGCACACACAGGACCCAGGTGGGGCTGCAGAAACTGTTTACAGAAAAATGTAACGGCTAACATCTACGAGGAGTGGGCCTCCTACAAACCAGGGACTGCATTCAGTATCTTACATGCACAATCCTCACCATGACGTCCTAAAGTAGGTAAAATCCCCATTTTACACATAAACAAACTGAGGCTCAGAGATGGAAGTCACGGAAATAGGCGCATAGATAACATTAGTGTGTGGTAGGGCTGGGATCCAAGTTCAGGTCTGTCCATTCTAACCACTGTCCTGTGCTTCAATAAGGAGTTTCAAAAGGGAAGGGGGACTGTCTGTATTGGAAGGGAAGGTATGTGTGTGAAACCCTGAAATCAACTTCTCTACAAAGCGAGCCCTATACACATGTTAATTACTTGGCAGATCACCACAGTGGAACCAAATGTTTTAAATCAGAGACTGCTTTTAAAAAATTAAAAAAAAAAAAGAATAAATTTCTTCAAGGAGTACTTCAGAATATTAACTTCTACTAAAAGGACACTATTGAAAACTTGCACTTGAAATATTTATGAGTTATTTTGGTTGCCATTGTTATTTTGATCTGTTTAAAAGGAATTTAATATACCAATTATTTTACATTAGAGGCCTTTTCTCCAAGCCAATGGTTTAATGACTATCTACTTTACAGATAAATTGGGGAACGCTTATGAAAGTGGTATTATATTTATACACTTAAGGGATCCATTTGAGAAGAATTTTTCTCCAGTGAAATATAATATATCATACAAAATGTATTTGGTCATAATTTAAAATCTTCCCTTGAATACAATGAAAACACACTGACAGAAAAATTTAAGCTACATTAGAACATAATTTATATGATTTCTTATTAAGCTCCTTATATACCTATCTACTTATCAATTAACTACCTGAGTTAATGCAAACCTCCAGTTAGGACTAAATGTAAACATTTAAATCTAGTGAATTTGAGAGTTTCAACAACCAGTGGTAGCTAACCTCTTTGCAGAGCAATTTCTATACAGCTAATGTTAGCACTACCTTTTATGATTCACATCCATCTCTGTTTACCAAGAAGAAAAAGGGATGGAAATGAGGATTTCGTCAAAAGGCCCACATCGGAAGCATAGATTCAAGTTCTGAAATCTTTTAACCTGACCACTTCATTGTAGGGTGAAGAGAACCAAAACCCAGAATTCACCATTTTTTTGTCACAACATCCTGTGGACGGAGGCCCAAAGGCGACACAGAAGCAAAGCCAGATCTCTCTAGGCTCTGCTGAACTCTCCAGATGAGACAGGACTTAAAGAGAGATTACGTTACCTGACTTTATATAAGCAACTTACAGATAACGTTTTCAGTTAGGTAATGCTGCTTCTTTAAAAAAAAAAAAAAACAATTAAAAAGTTTTTTTTTTTGAATGTGGACCATTTTAAAATTCTTTATTGAATTTGTTACAATATTGCTTCTGGTTTTTTTTTTAATTGCCTTTTTTTTTGTTTGGCTTTTTGGCCATGAGGCATGTGGGATCTTAGCTCCCTGATCAGGGATTGAACCCACCCCCTGCACTGGAAGATGAAGTTTTAACCACTGGACCACCAGGGAAGTCCCCAAGGCTGCTTCTTTCATTAAAACGCCAGGCAGGAAGTCTACTCCCGGAAGCAGCAGGTAGAGTAGAAAAGTACTCCCCTCTCACCTTCTATCCTTTCCTTCCACTTAACACTGCCTTTTGATTCTTAAAAATGGCATCCCCGTCGTCCCCACTCATCCCCTTCTGAGTCTTCATTTCCTATAATCTTGCATATCCCTGGCCTAGGAAGCCTGAGTCCCAGTACCAGATCTGCCACCAACTAATTATGTGGCCTTCTGCAACTTACTTCACTCTTTTGGCGTCTGTTGCTCTGAGCTGCAAGACTAAGGAGGTTGGACTAGATGCTTTCTTATGAATCTGGAGAAAGAAACGAACAGTACTACAAACATTCCGAAGTAAGAACAGCACTGAAGAAAGAGGCATATTTGTGTACTACTAGGTGCATGTGATTTAACGTTTTTTAGAAAGTTCTCTGTTCAAAGACATGACAGGCAATTATATCTGCTTTCTTGAGGGTTCTCTCCTCTCTCAGTGCTTCCACTCCATCCCTTCCAAAGGACTCTCGACCCTCCCATTTTCTTTATTCTGGAACCACTCATGCTTTGAAGGGCTACACTGTTTACCTTCCAGCCCTTCTTAGGAGACTGCAACTCCTTGCAAAACACTGAGTTCTGTATCCAAGGACTCTCTCCTTCTTGATGTTCTATCTTGATGTTACCTGACCCCCATCACATCCCAATAAAGACAAGCAGAAGCAGGACCCCAGGGCCAAGCTACGAGGCTGCCGGCTCATCACTTAGAACAAAAGGGGTTTTGCCCAGATAGCATCCAAAGTTCTGTATGGCTTTGCACGTTAGTCATATTACTGACTCCTCTCTGTCTTCCTGGAGTTGCCAGCAGAAGTAATTTCTTAAAAACCCTTGAGACCATCACAGAGCAGGTCTGGGCTTTCTTAGCAACCACAGGGGAAGCATGAGGCTGTGAGGATGCACAGCGAAGAAAGAATGAGGAAGCAACTGAAAGCTCCATGTGGCTGAGTTCCTACAATTCTGGAAACTCCTTCAAAGTGGAGGCAGGTTTAAACAACCCCCCTTAGGACACACCAGGGAAGCCAGTCATTCTCCAGTCACATTTATGGTTTCTGTTTACTTCCCTGAATTCTACTGATAACCTGCCATCTCACAGGGATTAGTGTGGTCCAGGCTCTTACACTAAGTTGAAACCTCTTTGATGCATTTTATAAAACAGAAGGCAAAGGTGGGGCAGAAGAGAAGCCCTAGTTGATGGGTTGCTGGGGTGCTAAATGGACACCACGCTGGTGGCTGCCTTTCCTGGGAGGAGGACTGATTCTTCCTAGGTCAACTGGCCAGTTATTTCAGTGGAAAACAAGCTGAATATAACCTTCCAAAGGCTTTCTCTCTTCCCTCTGAAATAACAGAGTGATTTTAAAAGAAAACAACTACTCTAAAATCAATTGTCCTATGTCTTCTCTCTGTATTACCGTCATCTCGCATTTTATAATTTATTCAAGACATCTTGAACTGGGGCACAGAAAAATGAATGAGGTCGTCCCGCCAACTTGGGTGTTTTATGATGGAGACTGGACTGGAGGTTTCATGATGGCCTCAGATTATCATGTTCCCTGAAATACTACTTCCCTCCCAGGCCTATCCATTTAAATGAAAAGTCAACTTTTTTCCCCAACAATATTCACTTAAGATGAACACCATGCAACTCTTTGGGGTGTTGGTGATTGACTATTTATTGCATTACTATCACACAAACATTCAAGGAAGAAGAAACATTTCTCAAAACAGGTACCACAGAGGGAAGAAAAGCGGGTAACAAACCACCAGGTGACCTTGATCTGTAACCAGACATTTATCCACATTCTACAAAATGGATTATATGTTGCAGGGATAAAAAGCTTTCGCAGGACGATCAGTTTCTGTAAAGCACTAAACAATTAGGTGAAATTCAATCAAAGCGTCCGTGGGAAATGCAGCAATGTACTCACCTCATGGGATTCAACCCAGAACAGCCTTTGTTTTTCAAGTTTATGTTGTGATTCATGTAAAGTATTGGGGAAAAGAAATGGGGGAGACAAGAAAATGAGTCAGGAATTGAGACTCCACCACCCTCTGTTCACCAGAAGGAGGAACAGGGACCACATTAGCACGGAGTTCTCTTGGCCGAAAATGGAGGTAACAGGTGGTCTTTTACTGATAAGGAATTATTACCTATTTTCTGACTGGTGGCATTTAGTTTCTGTGATCTTTGAGCACTGTGGCTCTCGCCAGCATAGGGTAAGAACGACTGAGTGGACTTACAGATCTGCCAGGAGATGATTCAAAATCAACTATAAAGCCTGAACACTCTTCGCCAAGTGGAAGGCAGAAAGAGCAAGCTCAGAGAAAGGGAGGCATGAGAAGGACTCAGCCCCTGCAGCCCAGTCTCCCCGCCCCGAAGCGCTCCCAGTGCTGCTGGGCCGGGGCGCTGTTGTGCTCCCCTGGGAATCAGATTCAATGCCACCCACCCTTCCCCTTCCAGTTGTGACCTGTGGCGAGTGGGCGTGTACATCTCTGCACAGCTGGGCATGCTGCTCCACCAAAAAACGTTGCAGGGGCAAGTGGAGGGAGGTTGAAAACAGGACAGAAAACCTCAAACTCTGATCTGACACTCGAAAAATTCAATGAAAAGAACTTCTGGGATTAAATACATTTAGGCAGCCAAAGGAGAGCTCAGAGAGGGTGCTTAAGGCAACCGGTCCCAGCAGAAAGGTTCAGTGATTCAAATTCATGAAAGTTCAACCCCGCAGTGGTGCAGACTGAATTCCTTAAATGATGGTTTCAGCACACCAGAAGTTGTAGACAGATTCCCCCCTTTTGCACCTCTGGTTCTCCCACTTAGAAAGATATAAACACCTATAAAAGATGCAAACACAGATTCCCCAGGCAGAAGAAAGAGATGAGATTATTACCTGTTCCGTTTCCATCTAATCCTCGCAAATAAGGAAAGCCGTCCACCTCGGAGGGGGAGCCGGCGGCCGTGAGAAAGGCGGTCAGGTCACTGTAGCTGGTGTTTTCCGGCAGCCGCAGGGCTCTTCTCTGGAAGTGCACTCGAGGCTGCGGCCGGGCACCTGCAGATATGAAACTCTGAGTTACCTCCTGGAGAAGCAGTTTCTGTTTTTAGAAAATGCAAACCCCGGAGAGGCTCCTCTAAGGTTTCAGCGTGGCTCCCCTGCCCCCACTCCTCCCCACATCCCTTCTCATGGCCCATTCACGCGGGGCACAGAGATGTGACAACATGCTATTATGGGGACAGAAATAATAGCCCATTGTCACGTCTGCTTTGACACAGGATGTTATTTAGGTTTTTCACAAAAAGCTCTATTTGTGAGCGGTCTTTTCATTGCCCAGTCTTGGCCTATGGGTAGGGGTATCGTTTTGGGAAAGAACGTCTACATAAGTGAAATGAGTAGATGGCAATTAACATCTTGAAACACACAAGGCAAGAGAAATCTTTTGAGATTGTTACAAACACATCCTTAGTCTTCCTGGTAAAATCTGGTCTAAGTGCACAGACCACGCTGGAGCAGAGCAGGCAGCAGATGCACAGTTGTACAAGAAATGCAAATAAGAACCCACAGTGAAATGTCTCTTGGCCTTCTGTCTACTCTGGTGGGTGCATCCAACTCCTGACTATTATGTTACAGATTTTATGATGAGCCTCTTGAACAGATGTGAGAACCACTCCTTCCAGGAAACCCTGTGCAGAAGGACGGCTTGAGCCGACAGCCCCGTTAGACAGTTACCTTGTGACACCATCCGCAGTTTGACTTTGCTCCAGATTTTGTTTTGACTGTAAAACCTGAACTACATCTAATGATGTAGTGAGGGTCACGAGACATAAATGTACTAAATCAGTTTGTACACAACCAGCAAAAACATCATGAAGACAAAAACTCACAGAGATGGGAGTTGGGAGCATTTACTGATGGAAGTACACATCTCTCTGGGTTAAATAAAGTGGTTCCTCAAACAAAGTGGTCTGCCCTGATGTTCTGGCCATTGTATAACCTGCTCCAGGATTGAGGGAGACCACATTTCTCTGTGGTCAGCTGGACGCTCCCTCTCCTTCCAATTCGTGGTTGTTCTGACACAGAAGCTCTGCCCAGGGCTCATAGTCTTTCACGTCTACACCAAGGTTCCTTTTCACTCTGAATCAGAAGCTTTTAGGGGAAGAATAAGCCTGTCAGGAAGTGTTCTAGGGGAATTCTCTAGTGGTCCAGTGGTTAGGACTTGGCATTTTCACTGCCGAAGACCCAGGTTCAGTCCCTGGTTGGGAAATTCAGATCCTGCAAGCTGCACAGCATGGCCAAAAACCAAACAAACAAAAACCAGAACTACTCTCAGTAAGGGAGTTCTGGAGCTCCAAGGATCAACTAACCCAAGTCTCTTCCGATAGGTGAGGCCACAAAAATCCAAATGGACTCACCACCAACAAAGACTTACGGGGTGGGCTGCCTTGACCATGGATGACTAGGGAGGTCATGATGGTACCCCTACCTCCTGGAAACTACTGACTGTATTTCTTAAATGATTGGTCCTCCATAAACATTGGCCCAGCTCTGGAGCCTGTGGGAGCCAGATGCCCAAGCTCACAACAGTCCTATTTAATCCGGCTGCCTCCACTTAAGCTAGGTGGACACATACATCAGTCCTATTCCAGACCATCGGTATCCTTTCTTTACCCCTACAACACAGCCATGGTGATGCCCTGGCATCCCTGCTGCTGTATCTGTTAACTTTCAGGTCACCTTAGTCCTCTGTCCTCTTCCTCTGATCTCACACCACAGTGCTGTCTTCCTGCTGTCCCCTCCGTGGTCTGCACAGAGCTTGGGCGCCTCGTGCTCTGGGGGTGCTCCACTCATGCCAGGAGCACTGGTCTCACTGGATCCCTCTCCCATCCACCTCCCACACCTGTTGTCTGCCTCTTTCCTTCTTCTCTAAGCTGCCCTCAGAGATTAAAGGTCAAAGCAAACCCTTTCTCATCCATCTCCTCACCCTCAACTATATAACTTCATCCTGTCCTCCTATTCCCTTTTTTTTTTTTGTTAGATAGACAAATGATTTTTGGAGTGGTCTCAAATTGCTTGAGCTGCTTTTATTTTATAAATGTTTTAAAATTAATTTTTATTGGAGTATTGTTGCTTTGGCGGCTCCGTGGTAAAGAATCTGCCTGCCAATGGAGGAGCCACAGCAGATGTGGGTTCGATTCCTGGATCAGAAAGATTCCCTGGAGGAGGGAATGGCAACCCACTCCAGTACTGGTGCCTGAAAAATTCCATGGACAGAGGAGCCTGGCAGGCTACAGTCCATGGGGTTGCAAAGATCTGGACATTACTGAGCGACTGAGCACAAATGCACAGAGTTGCTTTACAATGTGCTAGTTTCTGCTTACAGCAAAGAGAATAGACTGTAAGTATATACATACCCCCTCGTTCCTGGAGTTCCCTCCCATTAGGTCACCATTATTTTCTTTCAATGATGGTGAACTTTCTGGGATTCGGTTCCCTTTCTCCACTGCTCTTCATTCTAAACAATATTGCTGATGTCTGGGTTTTATAGACTGAGAAATGGGAAACTCACTACTATGAAGGAAGGAAGGGAGTGGCTGTAGTGTAAAAGTGCAAAGAGGGGCCGTTTCCTCATGAGGGTCGAGGCAGAAAGCAGAGGCCAGGCAGGTTACCCCAGAACGTGGGTCGGGTACTGTGTGCCCCTTCAGACCCCCTGAGATGGGCAGGTTGAGGTCACTATGAAGGCTCCTTTGGCTGAATGGAACAGAAACCCACTCAGCCTAGACCAAGGAAAAGGGGAGGCTGCTGAAAGACGCAAGGGAATCCCGCTGAACCGCAGGAAAGCGGTCCAGCCAGGCCTAGGACCCTGATACCACAACCAAGGCTGTTCCCAGTTCTCAAGCGTTTCATCTCCATTTTTTTTTTTAATTTAAAATTTTAATAAATTGATGCTTTAGTTTTAAAATGTTCTCCTTAAATTGTATTTTAAAAGGTTTCCTTTTCAGATTGAGGGGGGTTTTAAATAGGTGACTACTTTTGTCATTGGTTCCTCATTTTTTTCACTTTTTTTTTGGCCTTGTCTCTTAGCATGTGGAACTTCCCTGACTAGGAATCAAACCTGCATCCCCTGCAGTGGAAGCATGGAGTCTTAATCCTACTGGACTGCCAGGGAAGCCCCAGTTCCTTATTTTGTAAAATTAAAGTATAACTGATTTACAATATTATGATAGCTTGAGGTGAACAGCAAGGTGATTCAGTTATACATATAAAATTTTTTCAGGTTATTTTCCATCATAGGTCCTTACAAGATATTGAATAGTATTCCCTGTTATATAGTAAATCCTTGCTGCTTATCTATTTTATACATAGTAATATGCACCTGTTAATCCCAAACTCTGAGTTTACCCCCGCCCACCTCTTTCCCCTTTGGTAACCATAAATTTGTTTTCTATGTCTGTGAGTCTATTTCTGTTTTGTCAACAGATTCATTTGCATTATTTGTTAGATTCCACATATAAGTTACATCATAGGTCACCCCAATTCTGTATCTTCCTGTCTCTGTCTCTCTGCGTGTCTATTTCTCTCTGCCTCTGTCTCTGTCTCTCTCTCGTGCCTGCTCTTACTCCCCGGCTCATCGTGCATTTCACTGGGAGCTGCATCCCTCCCCTCCCCTCTCCCCCTGCTGCCTTCCTTCCCTTTTCTGTGCAGGAGAGCCTGCTCCCAGGCCAGACACGTGTGTCTGTTTTCTGTGGCAGGGGAAGTATTGTGGGGGCGGGGCACAGAAGGATGATGTGGAGGCAGGTTTCCTAGAAGGAGATGTGGCTGGTCCAGCTCCTTTCACACAAGCTGTGACCAGCACACCCTGATACCTGTGGGGGATCAAACATAGTCCTCCCAGGAGTATAGGCAAGACCTCTGCCTGGTAAAACGATCAAAGAAACATCTAAGGAGTATAGAGGTTGAAATATTCTAAGCCACAGTGCAAATACAATCTAAAGTGGGTGTGTGTAGGCTGGGCAGGGAATGGTATGTTCTTAAGCCTAAATTTATGTATGAAAGCTGCTACGTTCCCACACTTTTCAGGAGGGACCGGACTGGGTGTGGATGGATGGTGGAGGGGGACAGGGCTGTCTCTTCTGTGGACGTCCCTCCCCCACACTCCCCACAGCAGCTGCTTCAAACATCCGCTGTTCTTCTCAAACTTGGGGCTCCATCGCCATCCCCCATGTGCTTAGACCTAATTGTACTGAAAACACCAGGGCACCACTTCTGTCTGCTCTTCAAAATCTTTCTTCCATCTCCTCTGCCTCTTTGTCTCTGCCCGCCCCCGCCCAAGGTCAACCCAAGTATTCTGAGTTTTGCTTGTTTTATTGTAAGACTTGTTATTTGACCAGTTTTCTGGACTTCATCAAAAATCTCTCTCTAGGGGCTTTTCTTCTCCAGTCAACACATATATTCCTTACTTCCTCATTGAGAAAAATAACAATAAGACATGACTTTCACTCTGTTCTCCCCATCAGTCTCCTCTCCTTCCACCCAATGCCCAGGGACGTGGCTTTCACCCTCAATACACGCTGCCCTTGGAAATGTCAACTGACAACTGCATAATCTGCAAACCCTGTGACCTTCGCTCGCCTTCACCCCTCCAGCTCTTCACAATGATGTGCACTGTTCCCCACCCCCGCCCAGCAGCCCTCCCTGCTGGCGGTGGCGGTCCTGCCCTCTGCTCTCTGCAGAGTCGCAGGCCTTTTGCTCTACGAGTGCTTTCTTTTCCTCCTACTTCTGATGAGAGATCCTGAAGTCTCAGCACAGTTGCCTCTGCTGTTTCTGACTCTCTCGCCCTTGCTGCAGCCTCACAGTTACCTTCCTGTCCTGCTGGCGACTCTGCCAAGTTCCATGCCTTTTCAGCACCTTGACCTGGGTGCCCACTAGGCATTAAAACCATCACTACCTTCTCTCCCACTTGACAAAGACCTACTCTCCCCCAACACCCAGGTTTGATTACAGGTTGTCAACACTATTTTCCCTTTCTACTCTTCTGCACATTCATTCAAGTCCTG